TTGTTATTATAAATGTCTGTAGACATCTTGTCAAAGCCACCAGATGCCCCTGATAAAAAAAAAGCAATTTTATCTCTAGAATACAGGAGTTGCTGATCTACCACTGCTTCGGTGGGTAACTTCGTTTGCGTCTTTGTGCGACTTAAAAATCACACAATAGCACAAACTAACCAACAGAGACAGCGGTAGACCAGAAAGGAAAAATTACTATTTTTGTCAATGGAGTCTGGTGGCTTTGATGAGAGCGATATGGCGAGTGTTTCTGCTTAAATAAAAAGGATCTCACTCTTAAACAAAAGGTCTGTCTCTGTAGGAATCCTTTCCATAATGTAAGGGGCAAAAACAAGAACTGTAGTGGATGTACTTCGACGGGGCGCAGTTGCCCACAAGGATTACGTTACAGCCCTGTTTCACAATGTTTGTCCAAATTAGTCACAGAGATATAAAAACACGGGGAAATTATATTATTATTATTATAATTATATACCTTATTTATCCTTTAAGCCAAAAAAAGCAATAAGCAAATCTACCAAAATGTTGATGTATACTTTTTGTTCGAGGACAGGGCAGAAATCTCTTAAAAATACTTTTGCTTTCTCCACCTACAATACTGAATCTGAGAGATTCATGTGAGCTCTCTGGGGGTTTACAAACTGTATTCTGGATAATGTGGGAAATCACCAACTGAAGCAGAAGTGGATGAAGCAGCAGAGGAACAGAGGGGACATCCACAACAAAATTCCCACCACATTTCCTCAATCTAATAATACAATAAATTATGTTTTATTATTATTATTGTTTGTCTTGGTCTCAAGGAACAAACTGTTCAGTTAATGGATGTGTGTGTTTCCCACCTTGTGGCACCAGGAGGACGCTCTTCATCAGGTTCCTCAGAGGACCGGCACTCATCCCATGTTCCCCTGCAAACTCACTGAGCCGCTGCATGAACTTCTCCGTCTAAACACACACAAATGCATGCATTAATTTGCACACACACACAATAGGACAGGCAGTGTTTTACCTCGGTTCAGTTATCAAGGCTAATCAAGTCTCGAGTCCAAAGTCTCATTAACATTAAAATTGTGTATGCGTGTGCGTGCGCGTGCTCACCTCTTTAGGCTCCAGCAAAAACTGGAACAGAATCTCAATCAGACGAGGAAACTGCTGCACAAAATTAAATAAAAAGTCTTGGTTAATGTTTGAAGAAACGTTCAGCTGTGTTCGGTTCGTTGGAGGAAAACACACATTGATCAGATTTTTATATCTAGTTTTATCAACAACTCACACAATCCTTTGTCCATTACAGCGAATTGATTTTCTGCATAAATGTTTTTACTGAAGTATTTTCATTGTATTGTTTTCTTGAGAGTTTTTTTTTTGGGACCTATAGAATAATAAAATTACAACTCCCCTCTGGGCACAGAGACTAGACTTATTCCTCCTGAATGACAATTGCACAATGCACATCCTTCTACACTCATTAGCACTGATATATCTTTAAGTCCTTTGTTTTGTTTTACATCCACCTTTGCATAGTATATATCTGTAAATTGTATTTCTTTGTGTTTTGTTTTTAGAGCAACTTTAGTGCATTTGTCTAGCATTGATGGGGAAAACCAATAAAATGTGTTTATACTCACACAGCTGGCATCAGATTCAGGCTTCAGGACATTTTTAACATTTCTGTCTATTATTTTGGTAATATTCAAAGAATAAGTGTCAGTTTCTGGACTGGGACTGCAATTTACATCTACTCTCATTGTCATTTTAGATGTTAATCTTAATCATATTGTCAATTCACCGTGTAGCGTTCACAGCTTCAGACGTATATTGATATACCGGCCAGTATTATATTATTACAGATTATTTTGTATTGGTGTGCACGTTGGCTGATAAGTAACAAAAAAACTGCAGTACAGGAATGTCAAAGTAGTTTTTTGATGTAATTTAGAAACAGAGAGCACTGACCATTTGATTTTTAGGCTGTTAAATGTCCTACTCAGCATGCACACAATTCAGTAAACTAAGTAGAAGATCTGAGTGATACTTTTCAAGATGTACCAACATATTGTTTTAAGATTTTTTTTATCTCCCAAATATTATTTTCAGCATCAGTCTCAATCAAATCAAGTCTAGTATGGGTTAGGCCAGTGGTTCTTAAACTTTTTCACAATAACAAGGACCCCTAAACTGACACAGATTAGACCACGGAGCCCCATTTGATTTGAAGAGTTTTGCTTTCAGATGTGTTATTACAGTGAAATAAATTATTTCCCTCTATGCTGAGAATCCCTGGAAGCCTCTAAGACCCCTGGGGGTCCCCTAACCCCACTTTTTGAGAACCACTGGTAATGGTTTTGGTAAATTTTGATAGACAGTTTAACAGCTGACTGGACATAAAACATACCACAATTAAAGTTTACAGTAAATTAACCTCACTCTATTTAAACATTCAAATACAGCCCAGATCTGCTTCTGTGGCTCCACATGATTTAATTGTAATTAGAGTAACTGGGATTTACAATACACGCTGTAATGTTATGTTTTATAGATAGTCTGCTGTCACATGATTCTCACGAGCTGTCACTGTCAGCTGGTGCGTTTACTGACAGTAAACTAAATTAATCCCGCAAATGCATAACCACGCATCCTTCTACTCAACTTTAAAGCTGAAGAAACTATGACTAACTGTTTCACCCAGCAGAAGTAAAGCTCAGGAACTAGCTGTGCTACATTAGCTGCTCTTTTCGTTCAGCCTTCTCACTAATAATCCCGGTGTCGGCGGGAAAAACCTGCTGTTTTTACCTGCTCGTTGAGTTTGTTCAGGTTCTGGAAGTCTGTGCTGACAGAGTCCGGTAAAACATCTTTAGTGAAATGGAGCTGCATCTTGTTTTTATCAACACAGTGTCTGTGAAAAACCTTCAGAGCTGCCGCTCTGCTCTGTTGTGGAGTCCACTTCCGGGTTCTTCTATGCGCATGCGACCCACGTGGCCGTCTCTGTATTTGTGACAGAAATTTAGACATTACATCATTAAATACGGTTTAGATGGCAAACAATCAATTAAAACTATCAGTATAAGAATTTTACATATTGTTTATTTCAATCAACGTTCATGTGACACAAATTTATTGGTTGTTTTGCACCTAAAAAAATCATTTACAGAATAAAAGTATGTGAAAAACCTTAAGATACAAACAATAATATGGATATTATATAGTTATAAAATAACATTGATATTATAATAAGACGTGGAAAGCAAGAAAGCACATTCATGTACTAAGAAATTTATTTTGCAGAACATTAGTTAACATCAGTATGATTTCCACCGAGTGCTGCTTACATTGTACCGGTATTAACTGCAAGCCAATATTATGTCTGTAATAACACAACACTCTGATGCTCTACACACTTTTGCACTTTAAATACATTTATATGATAATGCTTCTGTACTTTCGCTTCAGTAAAATTGTTAATGCAAAATTTTTACTCATAATAGAGAATTGTACATTGTGGTACTTTTACTTAAGTACAGGATCTGAGTACTAACTACATACAAACACACAACTTACTAAAGTTGTTCTGAATCCCTGAAAGGTGCCATTCTGCATAGAAGTAGTATGCTTTTACTTTTCAGTACATTCTGCTGATAGTACTCCTGTGCTTTTGCTTAAGTGAACATGTTAACTGTAATATTACACAGTAACACAGTAGTATTAATTAGTACTAGTAATAGTACGCCTATAGTATGTTACTTACTAGAAGTATTACAAAATGAAGTAAAAGTACACTTTACGTGGCTCTCTTCAGAATATTAGATGCTATTATTGGTAAATGTGATGGAAAGTACATTTACTCAAGTCTTGTGCTCAAGTACAATTTTGAGGTACATGTAGTTTAGTCAAGTATTATTAATAACATTATTGATCCTTTATAAGTAAATTCACATGCTACCCAGTATATATAAAGTAGTTAAATTAGCTCCACCTTGATTAATGCTTTATTAATTTTAATCCAATTATATAAAATATGTATTATTCTGACTGTATAATGAGTATGTTTATTTTTCGTACAATACATATATTTTGATGCTAATGCTTTTGTACTTTTACTTCACTTAATTGAGGACTGAGAGAATTGAGGAGAAGTAAAAAAACAGGTACTTCTTCCACCAGCTGGTCATAGTGGAGCTAATACACTGCTATATGTACTTTTGGGTAGGTGTTGTCTCAGTTACTGTAGCTACAGTTTTAAGGAAGTTGTACTTGAGTGTTTTAATCTTCTGTTTCTATATACAGTCAAATATTGTACTTGTTTACAACATTTATTTGATTGCTGTAGGTATTTTGCAGACTTTATGAATAAATGTGTGACCAGTGTAAAGTTTAAAAACAAATTCTGTTTACACTTGGAAGTTGGTTTGCTTACATTAGCTGGTATTGTGTAGGCATACTTAGGTAAAGGTTTTACTTAAGGTGTAGACCTACTTCTTTCACCACTGTTTTAATCTGTAACAATGCATCATCAGATGATTAGGCCTATATGAATTGATTGTAAAATCTTGATCTGAAAAGTCAGAATAGGTGTCAGATAAAGTGGTAAAAAGTACAATATTTGCCTCTGAAATGTAGTGGAGTGGAAGTATAAAGTACACAGAGCTGTTAAGATGTCGGCTGCGTGCAGTTTCTGTTTGGCAACAGCGCGTTTCGCCTCCCCGGGGCAAAATGGGAAAGTCTCTCTCGTTGTTTCTCCCTCTCTTTGATTTCTAATGAAATGTGGTGAAGCGAGGTCTAATGAGACTACAGAGAGAGAGGCTTGTGGTGATGGGGGGGGGTAAAAAATATGTATATTTCCTGTTCACAGTTAAAATCAGAGGAACAGAAAATGGGAGTTGCCACTCTCACCTGGGAAAGCCCTGATCGCTCTGACCAATCTGCTCCCACCTCTGTCTGCGGGTCGACTATAGATGGGCCGACCCCACTGAGAAAGTTCACTCTGCATACAGTGGGACGCACGCGGAGAGCACGAGAGAGAGAGACAGAGACTTTGCCTCACACACACTAGGAGAGAGAGAGAGAGAGAGAGAGAGAGAGAGAGAGTTGCACGGCAGAGATCTGCAGCAGCATGCTCCAACAGAGTGAACAACTCCTGCGAGAGGACTAGACCGACTCCTGATTCAAGCCTGATTTTTCCAACTCGTCTAAATACACTTTTCACAAGTTTGACTCTACAGACGCCGACACGTCTTCCTTCGTCGTTTTCCTGCCGTGGATGAGTGCAAGACGCGTGGATGGTTATGTAAGTGTTTCACCGGGGAGGGCGGTTGGTTTTTGCAGGATTTACTATACGAAGCGAGTGATTGCAGAGTCACATAGATACACGTTGCGCACATTATATTTTAATGATGCATGTTTGACGCTGTGTGTGGAGCCGGGCTCGTTGTTAATGGTTTGTCTTTTCCTTCTTTTTTTTTCATCGTGCACTTGTAAAATTTGGAGCTCGGCAGTGTTTCTGCCCATGTGCACGACAAAACGGAGCTGCATGTGTGCAAATGTTGAACCTGATGAGAAAAAGTTCATCTGCAACAGTTATCTCAATAATGCACCATAATCAGCATGCAGGCGGACATAGTTGTGAGTTTATAGGGATTTTAATATATTATAGTATTCTTGTAGTAGTGTTCCTTTAGTAGGAAAAAGAATTTAAAGCATCTGCAGTGCACACTTGTGCGTTCATCACGTGCATGTCTCCTACAAAACGCAGAGTTCAAGGCGACCTTTTCAACTTTATAGTACTTGATATGATATTTCTGCAAGGACTCAAGCATTGCTTCTGGTGCGGAGTGGTGATTTTATCATGCTTGTAGCTCTATTCGTGTGGTGTAGTGCTGTTATTACGAGTTCAAACGGCGTGTGCTGCTGAAAAGTGACACAACAGTGATTTTTTTTTTAAAGAAAGATCCCGGTGGTGTTTCTGCAAACTGTGGAGTGATTTTAGACCCGGTTTAGCTGCATAAGTTGTTTGGGATTGCACGGCAGGATTTCTCTCCCCCCCCCCCCCCCCCCTCGTTTTACCTGGTTTCCTGGTTTTGAACGCGCTCCGGTGTTTGGACTTGCACATGTGGAGGTTTACCGGCGGAACGTCCTGCTAGGATTATTGCTCTCTTTCATCTGGTGATTCCTTTGTTTAAGCTGACGTTGTTAGACAGGCTGGTGCAAATATATCAAATAAATCAAATAAAAAGCATTGTCAGTCATTCTGGGGTCGTTGTGAAAGTGCAGAGAGTGAAGGGGAGGAGTCATTTTGGAAGTTGGTGATACAGTTGAGTTAAATCAGGGGGGAATTTACCTGATTTAGGAAAGATTTTACCCGCCAGCATGGCAGATAGAGCTCCCAATGCTCCAAAAGGTCTTAAAATGTTAATAACACATGCATGTTATTGTTTTTAAAGCAACATTTGTGCATTTGTATTGCATACCAATAAAATGAGGTCAGCTGGCCTCAGATTCAGCCTTCAGGACATTTTATAACATTTTTGACTGTTATAATAAGGAAGGAGTATTCAATAATAATAATACATTTAATGCGCTTAACATTTGAAACAAATCTCAAAGTGCTACAGGTAAGATCATGAAAGCAAGGTGAAAACAAGACTTGCAAGGTTAAGTAAAACTCCTAAGTTCTGCTAAAAAGAAATGTTCTGGTTCTTGTTTAAAAGTTGTGCTGCAAACATTTTTCAGTTAATTTATTCAAAGAATAAAGGTCAGTTTCTGGACCGGGGGCTGCAATTTACATCTACTTTCATTGTCATTTGTGATGTTAATCTGAATTATGTTTTCTTGTAGTGTTTTCACTTTGACAGAAGGTAGTGAAAAATACCCACACAATTTCCAAAAGTGAGTCCAAAATGATACCTTCAAATGTCTCAAAGATATTCATATTTGCATGACATAATGTAAAACAGAGAACAGCAGCAAATCATCATACAACCTTGAACCAGCACGTGGTTGGTATTTCTGCTTATTAAATGACTGGAATGATTAATTGATTACCTTAACAGTCATTACAGTTTTAATCTGTGCAGAACAAGGCAGACTCGTAGTGTAACACTTGTTTTTACCTGTACTGGAAGCACTCGTTACTCACTAGATCAGGAAAGAAATAAGACTTTGAGATTCAATAACAGACAAAATGACAATTAATGATTTTACAAACCATGTAACATTGATATTTGCAGTATTTTCCTGGCTGCAGGATGGATTGTATATCCCTTTTTTATTATCCGCAGTGTTCTAGCAGTGTGCTATAATGGTGTTACAGTACGTTCTTGAATATCAGATATTCACTGGATAGTTGTATAGTTTAAATTCTACCTTTCATAATGAAGTGCATAAATCAACTCTTTGACTCAGTGATGCGATTTCGATTGTTGGTTTAAACTAATCAGTGGGATCAGAGCTGTCGCCGTCTGATAATATTGCCAGAATGTAACTGGATTACACTGGAACGGATTCTTATGAGTCACACTTTGGTTGATGTCAGTTATTGATCAAGTACAAAACACTTGAGTCACTCTGTGATCACACCTCACCGTCCCTAAAGTGCTATGAAACAGGTTATATTTGTTTGATTTGATTGCGGTAAGTTTCAGCATTAAGGAATCACTTTTATAGGCGTGTAACATCTTAATAATTTCCAAGACATTTCCTCAACAGAACTTTGTCATTAATTACGGAAAAACTAGAGACTGTTTTCAATTTTTTCCAGTGAAATAATTTAGATTAACTGCCAGCGTACCCTTGAGAGTCATTTAGTTGAAAGTTGGAAAGATGAACATACAAGAATGTGAAATTTGTCTACATTCAAGCATGCAATTCCACTCTTATATCGTAATAATAAATACATAACGAGTGAATATACTTTAGTTTGAATTTAACTTTTTTAGGAACCATACAATAAAACATAACGAACATGAATATTAGTATACACATTGCTAATCACTGTTTCATTTTATCACGATTCTGTGACTCATAAATGCTTCTGTGAGTTTTGCACAGGGGTGTCATGGCTTAAAATGTGTGAGATTAGTGTTAATTTTAGTGTAAGAAGAGATACTTTTTATGATATTGTGACGATATCTGACTGACAAAAGGTTTGAAGATACCTCCCGAAATAACACAAAACACAGTTGTACACAGGCATATTAACGCACTTGGCCATGTAACAGGATGAAATGAATTTATGTAGTAACAGCACAGATGTTTGCAAAAGCCACGTTTCGACCAAAGGAACTATACCCCCGAACTAGGAACCTTTGGAGGAACTCACTGTGTTTCCACCAGAGGGACCAGGGTCTAAATTTAGTTCTACGGTCTTTATTTTACCCCCAAAAAAAGTCCCTGCTCGGGGGTCAGTACTTTCCGAAAGTACTGGTACTTTGCGGGGGTGGGGCTTGCCTTACAGTGAATTTCTGAATAGGCAAGAAGAGGCTACTGGCTTTAAATCGAGCATGTCGGCTCGTTTTTCTACGACGGCTCCTCTTTTGTCCACCGTTGTTTGCAACCAAAATTTATAAATTTCGCTCATGGATAGTGGTTACTAAATGATGCTTGTGCATTGCTTTGTACGGCGTAACGGCCTACAGCCTACGTCAGCTGGTTAATTTGCCAAATCTTCGCAGGTCTTTAGACCACAGTGGAAACGCACACAAGAGTGAGCTGAAGGAACCTCTTAGTTCCTTGAAAGAGATCCTGGGACTTAAAAGTCCCGAGTAATTTTGGTCGAAACGTGGCTAAAAATACTTTGATAACTCGCATTGGTTACTGACTTTTTAGTATTAGCATGGAGCTAACAGGTAAACTGCCTGCATAAACACATTATAGAACATAAGCAGAATAAGTCTGGTGGATGTTAAGTCCACCTCATTGTATTCAATGTTTTTAGCATGAGTGAGGGTTGAAAGAAGACTAATGTTTAAAGCTGACAGAAAAATAATTAGCAACTATTTTGATAATCTTTAAAGACCATTTTAAAACATAAACCAGTGCTTTAAATAGCAATCATTCTCAGTTTTTCAGTTATTAAAATGTGAGAAACTACATTTAATGTGATAATAAATTTTAAATCTTTAGGGTTTAGACTTCTGGTCAGATTAACCAAGTAATTTAATGGCCTTTTTGGGGTTTGGGATGGGCATTTATATCAATTTTATGACCTTTTAATAGACCAAATGACTGATCAAGACAATCCATGATAACAGTAATCGTTAGTTAGAGCTCTACTGATGTCCCAAAGTGATATTTTCTTGACTTTGTTGGTTTGTGCTATAAAAAGACAATACCGTAGTATGGAAAATGTATGTGTGTCATGTTTGGAGCTGGTAGATGGTTCAGTAAAGTTAAGAAAGTCCATTATCAGTTTTATTGTAGGACATTTTAATGTTTGCCCAGAGGCTGTAATTGAGTGTCTGCTACCTTGAAAGGTGACTAACCACATTTAGTTTGCTGTCTTTATATTTATAGCTGGAAGTATTTCAAACGTTAATTTTCTAATTACTCCCCCTGTGTCATTATCATGTCGGCAGCCAAGAAGCTTTCAGGAATGCTTTAGGAGGAGTTGAGATTTTTGAACCACCTGAACTCTGAGCATTCTAGGAGACTACGGTGGGAAGAAAATTTTGTACATTTTAAAGTTAAATGCAGTGCAAACGTAAAAGGCTATTTATGAAGACCTTTGCACTCTTATAAACAATGTTGTGCTGTAGTAAACTATTTGATCATAAACCCATTGTATAGCTACAAATGGCGATGAAACAGCAAAAAAAGTAAACAAGTTTATTTCAAGTTTTTCCAGCAACTCTAAATCAAAGAATAGAAAGTAGAATAAGTAACTTCTCTAACTTTTTATTGTTGTTGCTTTTTTACTTTTATTGGACACATGTAATATGTTTTATACTTTTTGTGAATATAATCCAATTAATCTTATTTCCATCCTGTATAGACGTCTTATTTTAAAAACCGGACGATGTCACATGTGTATATTTGCGCTAAATTCATCCAGTCTGACCCAATTTGATAAATAATGTTGTATGTGGTTCTTGTACGGCGTAACATGAAGACTTCACAGCCTCTCTTCAGGTAGGACTCTCACACTGCAACACTTGTCTTTGTAAAGAGACAAACTGAAACGATAAAGTCTCTAACCTGCCTGTGAGCTCGCTCTGGGCCGTTTACCATAAAGGCTTGAATACGTGTGCACTCCAAATTTAGGTGCGGCTAGCTTAATCGCCTTCTCACAAA